GGCACGCGCGATTTCATCCGCGATCGCATCAGACATTCTCGCGCTTCTTCGTATCGCGAGGAGCCGCGATCACCCGCGATCACCCGCGTCTGAAACCCCACGTCTGAAGATCGGAAACGTACAAAAATCTTACTTTCGCACGCACGAAAGACGGAACTATCCTTCCCCGATAAACGTCGCGACTTTATCGCCGCTGTTCGAAATCGCCGGGACATTCCTCGGTGATTCGCTCCAACACGCCGAGGCGGATCTTTGCCTCTCGAGTGAAGAGCGCGCTAAGTAATCCTTGAAAATCGCAGAGCACGGAATTTCAAGCAGCGAGAGAGGTGAGGAGAGAGAGAGAGAGAGAGAGAAAGATGAGACGAGGAAGATACTCTATCTCGCGAGTTCGCGCGCAAACGTTATCCTTCGAGAGTATCGCCCTTCGTTATTCATCGTCATCCCCGAGGTTACCGTCCGCCTTCCGCATGCGTATCTCGCCTCGCCCGTCTCTTCATGTGAGACTTAAATCCGCGACTTAAACATTGTGTCAAGGCCGCGGCACGTCGAGCAGAACGCCGCCACCGTATCTCGTATCCGGCGCATGATCGAAGGGGACTTTGATATTCCGACGGAGACCTGCGTCAGCGCGTCGACCGTGTTCAGCGCGATTTGGAAAGTCGCTCGGCCGATCGGCGGCCCGAGATTAATTCGAGCGTGATACTGCGAGTACTCCAACAAAGTACCAACGCGCGAGCGGTGGACTCGAAGCTACCTTTGAATATTATCACGCTTCCCCGGCATATCGCGGCCTTATTCCGCTGCGCTTCAAGTTGGCTCGCTCGGGGAGCGATCTCTCGCGAAATATGCGAAATATGCTCTTGTTGTTACGAGGGAAACAACGGCGCGAGCCGTATGAATATCCGCGCGTCTGTTTGAATGTTAAGAACTTGTATTCGCTCGCAAAGACAGACTCCTGCCTCCTGGTTTCGCCACGGGCGCCAGGGAAACTGCAGTTTGATAGTCTACGACGCGCCGCGACGAACGCGGGACTCCCTTGCGACCTGCCAAAGTTATCGTCAATTAGCGCGCCTCCGCCGCGCAGAAGACGCGAGACAATGAAGAAAGTGGCACAAAGGATCGCGAGCGTAATTGTTGCGACGTCAACAATTCCCCGGCTCCTCGGCAAATCCGCCGTGACGCTGCGTCGCCTCAGCGGCATGTTACGGAAGTGGAAGGCAGCTCTGTCGCTCCCCGGCGAAAGTTGCAGATGCGCGAGGTCATCCGTCTCACAGCTAGCCGCGCGCTCGAAATCGCTCGACTCGAAAATCGAATGGAGTCGCGGTTTTAAAGTTCGCGTCGAAATTCGACGCTCACGCGAGCGAAGCGGCGGCGGCGGCGGCGGCGGCGGCTGCAGCGAGACCGAAACGTCTTCATCATATAAGACGCAGAGCGCGGTGAATTCTTCGCGTTCTCATCGCGGTTTTCATCGCGGGAAACGCACGCGAGTTGAATGATCGTCATCGCTCGTGCCGCATCGAGCGTGCTGATAATCTGAAATTAACGAGTCGCGTCGAGCAAGCGTGGGGCTACTCGCGCTCTCGGTGGCGAGCATCTTCTACTCGCAACTTTTTTCTGTTTTTTTTTTTTTCTTTTCTTTTTTTATTTCTTTCGCCCATCGACACTCGTATTTTCATTCTGCGCAAATCGCATTTGCAATTCTATGGAGAAACTGTGGGCAAACAGCGAGAACAGCGCGTCTCGTGTCGGTGGCCAGCATCGGCAAGCGGCACTCGCTCGCTTGCTCGCTCACGTTCGGCGGCGGCGGTGGTGTTCGCGTTTCACGCTTATAATACGAGTCGCACCGCGGGGTGTCCCGCGAAACCGCGGCGGGAGAAGAAAGTGACCGTGGCGGTGCCTGGCCTTGGCCACAAGGCGTCATCTGGCCGCATTCGGCGGCGGAAATACGCGCGCGAGCAGCGGCACTTTCCTTCAACAGCTCGTTACTCGACTTCTTTCCTGGTCTCCCGACGCGCGCGCGCGCGCGCGCGCGTCGGGAGTCTCCCGTTACAGTCTCCGTCGCGCGTTTCTCCGGTGATTTTCTTTTTCGTCGTTTAATCCTTTCACAACCGCGGGGTGACACACGTGTGATATCGCGTGCGCGCTGAAACGGCCAGATACAACACATGATACACGTTTCCCTCCGCGTTTCACTGGATAATACCTCGGCCACACACGCCGTGAAACGCCGACGGGGTGTTTTCGTTGTCGATATTTTTACCTCCAATTGCGAATGCACTCGAGCGAGCTCGAGTCAGTCTCGCAGAGAGAACTCGGGGTCTCTGTAAATACAGGAATGCTGAAGCCGCATCGCGACGCGGAACGGGCAGAAGGTACACGTTCGCGGTTGCTGTCATTAAAGCCGCGAGCGCAAACTTTCGATCGAATTCTCATCAAAGCCGAAGAATCACCGCGCGTCTTTGCCCGCGGCTTTCGTTAACTTCGGCCTAGGTTCCTAGGAGGGAGAGGTTCCAGGAAGATCGATTTTTTTTTTTTTTTTTCTGCGAGACGAGAGGTGCCCCGGATACCAAACGTCCAGAAAAACCCGACTCTTGCGGGCACAGCCGACTTTGGAGGCAACTCGAGTTGCCAAGTTTCGATAGAGAAACTGCGCGCTTTTAATGGCCTGCGAAGTGCAGCAGAATGCACGCGGAAGAGAGATTGTACAGTTGCTACGTTTCTTTGTAATTTACGCAATAAAGGCGATAGATAAAAGGCGAAAGATCTGCTATCTGCGCGGGAATGCAACTGCTCGAATAACAAATACTCGTAATCGCGCGCAGAGTCGTTTCCCCCCTCGTTCTCGCGATCTCTCGTGTGATAGCCGCCGTTATTATTATTAATGCGCTCCGTTAATATCGATTAATTCGTCGCGGAGCCGCATAAACGCGAGTTGCCTCGGGAAATCGCTATCCGATCACTCTCGATTAGGTCCTAACGTAAGAGCGCGAGCCGAGCGGAAAGAAAAAAAAGAAAAGTATTATTCATATTCATGAGCCGGACGATAGTCATCTGCGAAATACAGCGCATTTGTGGAGATCGGATCGTACTTTTGAGCACGGAACAACCATAACGGTTAAGGTATAAGGTAAGGGGCTCGTGGCGTGTAATTTTAACGATGCAGCAGCATTCAGCCGGTGTTTCAACCCGCCCGTACCGCCCGCTTTCTCTGGCGGTTTAAACGCAGCGCTCGGTTTTTCGTGTTTCTCCGAATGAACCATCCGTGAAACCATACGCGAATAATTACGGTCCAAAGAAGACCGCGGCATCGCGAGCCGCGAATCGAATCGGCCGGTGTGTCTGTGGGGAGAATCGCATTTGGCGGAGATGATACGCGCACGGACGATAGGTCGAGGTGGAGGGAATGGTATATAATCCGATAAAACAGAGAAAGACGACGGGGACAAGAAAGAGAGAGAGAGAGAGAGAGAGAAAGATTGAATAAAACAATCCGGAATTGTCAAGCGCAGCTTGTAGAGAATTATTACCCGTTAAATTAGATTTTCCAAGATTGCTAGACCCAGAGAATGTATCGAGTCGAGAGAGGAGAAAAGAAGAGGAAGGAAGAAAGAAGGAAATGAAAGCACACGTATCAACGATAATACAACGATAAACGGCAAAGTCGTGTTAATAAAATCCCGAAGGGGAGAGATATTCGCGAGCAGCACGTTCGCTCCCTCTCTCTTGTTTTTCCGCACTGCATTTCCGCACTGCATGTTAACCAACGCGCGGAAACTGACGCGGCGACTTCCGGTCGCGCTGACGCGCGCATAAAAAAAAACGACTGTATGCAAATAGGATTCTTCGGCTTTTGTCATAAATACCTGGCCTGACCCGCGGCGCGGCGCGCGACAATTTCCTGAGTGCTCGTTCCGGCGCGAGATATCTTGCTTCACACAGGATACGCGCTTACAATGGAAATTGCGATCGAACGGCACCCCGGCTCGCCGTTGAATGCAGTCGATATGCAACTGGGCAATCGAGTCAAAAAAGGGAGCAAACAACCGCGCACCGCCTCCATCCCCTCTGCTCGCTCTCTCGAGCTCCGATGAATCAGAAGGTTGTCGAGGCCACCTCCCGCCCCCCCTCCTCCCTCCTCGTGTGAAACGAAATGTACGCGCTCGGGCGCATGTGAGTGACCCCCGGGAGTTCACCTGCCGGTCGCCCGCTCACCTGGCCACGGTGATTCACGTAACGCGCGCGAAGGGTTGTAAAAGGTGCGCGGCACAAACGCGAGAGCTCTCTTGCCTGAACTTGCATACTTCACCCGCGGAATTTCAGTCTCGGCCACGCCCGGAGGAGCGTAATTCAATCTCGGTGCTTCTCGCTCGAGAGCGCGAGAATGACGCAACGGGCGCATGATAATTTGCAGAAAATTTGCGAGTCCCCCGGTAATAATCCTCTGCGAACGGGAAATATTTGTGCGCGGGAGTCGGGATGGAAGAGAATAAACGGTGCCTTTCCATCGCGATTATCTGGAGCGCGCAAATAACTCGATCGGCGATTAATCCGTAATTCGTTTCACGGTCGGCGTTATTACGCCGATGATAATTCATTCTCTTCGGCCTTCCTTCCCCTCCCCCTCGCTTCTCCGCGATCGCGATCGCGGTGTGTCCGTCGCGTAGCGGTCGACGCGATTAACGTAGCATAATGATCGTAGCACCTCTCCGAGGACACAACTTTCGCGCGAAATGACGAGCTCGCCTTCGAGACCGTTTTCCATTGTTCTTCCGGTTCTCATCGCTTCAACCCGACGAGCGAGCGAGCGAGCCCCGCGCGGAATTTCCGCGCGCCTGCACAGGAATCAATTACCGGCTAAACGATAATACGCACGGTGGAGGAGTCAATTAAGCTCGATTACCCGAAACGTCGTTAAGGATTCCGCGCGGCCGGCGATCCGCGTTTTATCGCGCGCGAGAGAGAGAGAGAGAGAGAGAGAGAGAGAGAGAGAGAACTCCGGAGAAATTGATACTTCAACCGGCGCGGCGACTACGGCGTGAAAGCGAGTTGGTAAAGCGAGATCGTGCGTATGTAACTTGACCCTAGGTCGCCGATTTCGCCTACGAAATTTCGACTTGTTCGATTCACTTTCATGCGCCGCTCTAATAAACGGCAGCTCGCCGCAAATACGAGCCAGTCCCCGTTGATTCGCACGCTCTTTGCGCGGTCTGCGCAGTTTCTCTGCGCTTTTCTGCGCATTAGCGAGCATCCTCCTCCTCCTCGGTAGGTTAGAGACCGAGACCGATTTTCCCCCGTTTAAAGTGCCGACGAGCAATTTTCGAAATCATCTTCCGATGGACCAGGAAACCGCGGTTCGATCGACGAGAGTCGCTCTTACCCAATCTCTGGCCATCGATGTTGAAGCACCGCCGCCGCCGCTGCCGCCGCTTCGAGGTTGACTGCTTTTCTTACGTAACGTCGCGCTCATCGCGCGAAGAGAAAAAAATACACGCACGCACACGCGAGCGCACGTGTTGCATATTTATTATTACGTAAACGCGAGGATCGCGAGGTCGCGAGGCCGATCGCAAAGTGGTGTCTAAGTCGAAGGCACACGAACGACACGACGTCGTCGGCCGTGTGCCATCAATCACACCTGGTCTCTCGTCGTATTGACGAGCGGTTTGCGTCAGCGTCTCGTTAGAGTCGATTTGTGGATGCACCGTGAACTGAAAACCCGTGGAATACCCGTGGCGCGGCGGAACCGACGAGCGAGAAATTGCGCGCGCCGTCCCTGGTTTGTCAAACAAGACAAGGAAAGTAGGAGCGATTATTCCGCGGGTGTGCGCGATTTTTTCCCGGCCGCCGCCGCCACCGCCGCCGCCGCTAAGGTCAGGAAACGAGGCCGCGAAACGGCAGGAAGCGATACAATGGGGAACACGCTCCTGTTCTCACCGGGGAAATCCTATATATACATATATGCCGATAAGGCTTCTCTAATGAGCGCTCGATTCTCTCATTACACGACGATCGACGTTACCACGCTGTGGCCGATCGGTGTGGCCGATCTCGGGTCTTTTTCCGCGACTCGACTCGTTGCGAGAACGCATCTCGCCCGGGAGGAACGAAGAATCACGGCAACGTTATATCGGAGAATAACTCGTCGTCGCTCGTAAACGCGGGATTCTGTTTCCAGATGATCGCGCAATTGCGTGTACCTTGGCGCGTCACGGCGCGCTAATCCGATCACGTCGCGTTAACTGCTTAGATACATCTCGCTTCGTGCCCCGTGTCTCCGCAAATGAGATCTAACGAAGGTGCGCCATAAAAGAAGAGTAGAGATAACGCTGTGTGTCGAACGAGCCGGCGCGACGCGCGGCGATATCTCGCGAGAACGAAATAAAAGGCACTCTCGGCGCGCCGTAAGACGCGCAGACGCGAGCAATCATCATTCATCCGAGAACGTCGAACGTCGAACGTGAGAAACTGAGCGTCGAAAGTCACATCGGTATGAATCTTCGTTCAACTTCCCGCCCGACGTCTGCTGCTTACAGCGACTGCGGGCTCAGGTGTTTCGAGATAATCGAATTTCCTTGACTGGCCGTCAATTTCCATCACCGTTCATCGCGCCCCGTCAATCCGAATGAATTGAATTTCCAAGTGCGCCAGTGAATTTCCGAGTTTTGAACTTCTGAATCTTATCGAGCTGCGTGTCGAGTGATTTTTTGGTCGTTTCGATAGTCGATTTCCATCGTTCGGTGATCTTCGTCATTGCGAGATAAAAATCAACACGCTTTCCGGGTGGCGGAAATTCGCCGTTCCAGTCATTAGAAAGATCGGTAATTTTCGGCGTGGAAATTCCGTGTGAAGTATCTATGAAAAATTTCGTAATTGCTCCGCGCAACGCGAACAGCCTAATGACGCGTTCAGCGCGAGAAGAAGTTAGCTCACCGACAATGCGCGGAATGCGAGTTATAATTCGGCACGGTTATAAATTATCGGGACCTGCCACCGTGAAGATAACTCCATGTACTTTACGCGATAGATCATCAATTCGAAACGACCTATAAATTCAGCAGACTGAAGTATTGCTAAAAGCACGATGACGCAACGCGCGACCAAACCGAGAGGTCTATCGCCGACGAAATCGCCGTATGAGAGACAGGACAACGGATGCATTTTTATTTTCTGTTCTTTTTTTTTAGTCCTCGAAAATCCGATCGAGAACTTCCACGAGATTTCAATCCAATTTGAATCGAATTGCTGCCAGATCGACTTGCTGCCCGAGAGAGAGAGAGAGAGAGAAAGAGAATTAAAGCGAACAGAGGACTCGAATAAACGAGCTTTTTCCGCCTTTGTCGTTGAATCGACGCAAAAAGTGCCACTGTCTCTCACACATACGGCATCTCTTCGACGCGAGGGCACACTGATCTGTCATGATCTACCTCGACGTCCCGAGATCGCGGTCGACGAACTCCATCGTCACCTGGCAATAAACTATCTTGACGACGTACATCGCGCCGCGTCCGCCGCTTTTTTCCCCACAGCGGCCGAGTCGCCGCGGCACTTCGCACTGACGCTTGACTTTCGTCGCCGACCCTCTCGACCAGCGAGGATTTCCGATGTACAGGAGACACACGCGGTTTGTCAGAGCCCTTTGTCACTGTACCACACACAGGTGCACGCGTGCGTGAGCGTTGTGGGAGAGAACCGGAGAGAGGAAGAGAGAGAGAGAGAGAGAGAGGAGGGGAAAAAGAGAGACATTCGGACGCGCAGACGGATATCCGGCGTTCCGCTACTACGATCACGTTACAACGCAATGCCGCGCGGGTTTCGCGCTAATTAGCGATACCGCGGTGTATCGCGTGGATTTTTTTCCTTTTCTTCCCCATCCGACATCACTGACGATCTCGACTACGGATCGAAGCGACCCACGCCGTCTACCTCGGCGAGCACCGTCCCGTTAAACGTAAACCGGCCGAAATTCATTATCGCGACTAATTACGCTCTATATTCGACGCGCCGCGATATATATATATATATATTTTTTTTAGCATCCGAGTTATTACAAGCTGTCGCAATGCGCGACATTCAGCAATATTTGAGACAGGTTTGACTGATCGTGAAGGATACATGCCCATCGGTATGTACCAAAATCAAAAGTTAAATTTAAAATTGGCTAATAGAACAGGAAGCTCCAAATTAGCCGCATTGGTCTTGAGGTTTGCCGTGAGTAACACATCGATCAATAAGTCCTGGGACTAAGCAACAGATGGCGCCTCTAATAACAAATCTGTACCATTCTCAGTTAGTACCAACCTTTAGAAGTTACGTGTCAAACTGTCATGACATTCCGACATTGTGTCATTGAGTTACAGTGGTTTTTTAGTGACACGGCTACACCGTGTCACAAGTTCGATGGTAACGATGGCCAAATTGCATGAGTTGAACTTCGAATTGCTTCCGCACCCACCGTATTCTCCAGATTTGGCCCCCAGCGATTATTGGCTGTTCGCAGACCTCAACAAAAAGATGCTCCAGGGAAAGAGATTTGGCTCCAATGAAGAAGTGATTGCCGAAACTAACGCCTATTTTGAAAGCAAAGATCGTTCTACACGGCTGGCATAGAAAAGTTAGGAAAGCGTTGGAATGAATGTATCGCTCTTGAAGGAGACTATGTTGATGAATAAAGAAGAATTTTGGCAAACAAATTTTGTTTTCCCGTAGTAGTTAGTCCCGGGACTTATTGATCGATGTGTTATGTTGGGTGTTCCTTTAATCTGCCGCGATATATATATATATATATATATAATATACACCGAGTGCACCGTTAATAGAGTAACGCGTTCTCGTGAATAATAATAGCGCGATATTACGCGAGCGTATTCACTTTGGAAGTACACTCGACGCCGTGAACAGCCGATAATGACGACGGTGACGCCGATGATGATGACTCGCGAAGCTGATTCGTGACGCATTTGACGCGTTCGGCGCAACATATCGCGAGCGTATCGACACGTTTCATACATCGCGTGTTAACTCGCGCCTTAATTGACGGGAACCTAATTCCGCGACGCGTAAATACGGCAATTTGAAAGCGCGACTGTGATGTTTGAGTTTAACTCGGGGGGACCCCCCGTCGGATTTAGCCTCGGGAAACGGCTTTTGTCGGCGGGGCTGGCGAGGCGCATCGCGGCCGAATTTGCGCGACTCATCGTGGCGGAATGACCTAAAGGGGAAATTGTCGTTCGAAGTGACCCGGATATCAAGGAGTCTAACGACGTCTGAAGACGTTATTTTAAGGTGAAAATAGCACAGGCTCTCCAATTCGTTTCGGACTCAATGAGAGTATTGTCTTTTTTTGTCAGACCGCGGAAAACGTTTCTTTGAAATTTACTGAAAAACTTCCGGCAAAAAATTTCTGGAAAGCCCGAAGAAAATGTTAAATAGCTCAGGTATGCTTCATCCGACGGTCTTTCTCTGCCGACATCTGCCGTTTTACGGTTTTATTTTACGTTGTAGCTTTTATTTACGACGCTGCACCGCTTTGTCCAAGTGACATTTCAAATATTTCGTTGTTGCGTCCTCGGCTAACCGACGGTCATATTGCGGCGCGTTCAAAGAGAGGATTTGCAAGAGAGGAGAGCACAATTTTTATCAGGACAGCTCTCGCCGAACGATCGGCGAATATCACACGCGACCGGATGATATTTCACAACGAGCGTTACATATAAAAACAAAAAGGGAAACGGAAGAGATGAAACAAAGAAGATCATTCCGTCTCCCTCGAAGTAAAAGAGCTGTTCATAAACGGCGTTTTCCTACCGTGCTCGGACTCGCGGACACGAGCCAAGTCGCGTAATTAGACCACGACCGTGTTAATAAGCGTTGCCTGACCGCGGCAATACGGCAGTAATTAACTATTAATCGCCACTAATCGCGACGCATCGTCTCGGGAGCCCGCGAGATAAACGGAACTCGCGCGCGAGCAAAAAAACTGCCCGGAGATGTCGACGGTTTTCAGATATTCACGGTGGTCTTATGCCGCTCGTTCGTTTTATATCTTTTCGGTTTCGGCGAGCACGGTTCGAGGGGAAAAAGCGTGCGAGAAGGAGGAATCCCCTGCGCCCCTGCTCCTTCCCCCCGAATATGTCGCCGGCGTAAACGGCGCGTAAAAACCGACACGACCGATGCAATTATCGCGGAGACTGCGAAAGAAATTTCGCTGAACACGAAAAGAATCGAGAGCGGGACTTTCGCGAAAGATCATCCCGTAATTACTTGAACTTTCTGTCGCTTGAATAATTAGTCGGCCCGGCTAGAGAGAAACGCTCTCGCCATGGTGCCATTTAAGGCATCCTCATCGCTTTTCGAGATTACTCGGTGAGATCGCGGACGCAGTCTGCGAGTAATTAACTGCGTCGGTGCAGCGCGAATTTCAATGACGCTTTTATCACAGGCCGATGGAGCAGCGAGTCGAAAAGCACTGACTGGAAAGCCCGGCGAATTCGCGAGTGCGCAACACAATCGTAGCATCGATCGAAAAAAATCGACGCTGAGATAGCGAGGGCTGATCTCGTGGAATAAAGTACGTACAAGGGTCATTCCAGAGCGGTCATTGTAACATTTTGTTTTCGCTTGAACACCTGTTTCTGAGGAATTCCCAGAAAAATTAGGTCCTTTACCCTGGACACGGACACCTGGATTCCAAATTATATCATTATTGTAAAAAGAGAGCTCTTCCAAACTTTTTCCGAACCCTTTGAACCTGTGTTTTCCCTCGACCATTATGGGTCCACTAGGTCAACTAAAGTCAACTAGGACCACTGCTACGATCCACTAAGAAAAGTTTTTCTGGATTCCCAAATGTTTCCATCAGGAGCAAGAGTGACCTCCGTTGGACCATCGGTTCCGTGCAGAATCGAAAATGTTGAAAGCATATTGTAGCCAAGTGCACAGACAGACGCGACATCAAAGATCGCAACACTTGCTCGTGGATGGTTTTGCAAGACACATCCGTGTCGAGCAGGAGAGCGCATCTCCTGAGAATCTACTGAAGAAAAGCAGGGGTTCAAGAGAATATATAAAACAGATTCTCTCATTGCACAGGCAATGCTCCGAGAAACGTTGCGGACCTCGATTGGCTGCCGATGAGATCACGTCGCTCCGGGATGTTGGGAGATAAAGCGCGCTAACGTTCCAACGTATCGATCGGCGGTCTCGCGCGTGAAACGTATCGCGCGCGCTGTTCGTGGATTATTAAAAAGCCCGCTACTCACCGGTGGCACTTCTGCCGTTGCCGCTCTTGCACCCATAACGCCTCTCCGAGATTATGAGTTCCGCTCTGCACGCCGCCCATGGCCGCCGCCGACCTCGCAGACACCTGATACAAATTCACGTTTAATGACGGCGCGACGTTGAGCACGTGGCACATCGCCCAATATTTCATTCCTGAATATCGCACAGACTTCCGAAAGCGCGCCAGAGAAATAGGAGGAGAGGACAGGAAAGCAGCCAATTTCTCTGCTCTCGAGCGAGGACTGCTTTAAAACGACAATTTCGCAAAGCCCACGATCGTAGCACCGGCCGCGCCGCGCGGCGCAATAATACCGATTGTTTATTATTCATACGCGATCGATGCTCGGCTTACCGACGTGCGATAAAGTGTCGAATATCGCGAAAGACGCACCATGAAGATATATCCAGCCGGCCTGACGCAGATCGTCCGAAGGTTTACTTGTTTTACAAGTGCTTCTAATAAAAGTTCCGCGCGGATCGACATGCGCGCGCAAGAGATATGCGATATTATTCATGATAAAATTCTGAATTGCAACAAGAGAGCGGTCGCTCGCGCGAGAGCACAGCGAGAGAAAACTTTCCCTGTAAAAAATTCAAAGCTGCAATTACCGCGGAATAAGTTTATACACGAGCCTGTTCTTGCTGAGACTGATTAAGTAGAGTCGCTCGTTGATTTACGCCGCTTTAAAAGCTCTGTGGGAGTTTTTACGACATCACGTCGAATAGCTAAATAGTTTTCTCTTCTCGAGCAACAAAATGGTCATTCCCTTTCATGCACGACATGCACGATGATGCGCCTTTTGATGTTGTTTGCAGCCCACATATTTCCACATGTATCTCTTCGAACAGAAAACGACGTGCCGTCGAAACAATGATGTATAACTTAGTTCTTTCCCATTAAACCATGAAAACGCTTCACGTAGAAAGCGTCGTTCAGGTGCATATTGTTAACCTCGTTTACGACATATTTAACAACACGGTGATTAATGATGATACCAGAGAAATTACCCAACTCTGCCACTGAAGGACCGAAAGGTCATCACACAAAAGTTCGCGCAGATGGAACATGTGTAGCGTATCTCGTCTCATTTAGAACAGAGAAGCTCGAGTACGAAAACAAGTTTTGTTTTATAAACTTTTTTTACAAACAAGAACTCGAAGCATGAATAAATTGCGTACGATCCGATGCAATTGACGCGCAACGCGTCTCTCTTGCGTGTGTGTGTGTCATGTATATGTGCATACACGAGTTCGGTCGACCGTTTGTAATAGCGAGAGCTATCACTAGATGTCACCGGCTGTAGCTGTACTCGAGAGCGAAATCGATGCGGCGGCTTATAAATTGAAGGCAGGGAGACCCGTTATATATTGCGAACCGAGAGGTGTTTCAACGTTATTTTTATCCAGAAAAGGTCTGACCGTCAGGTACAGACCTAACTAATATAATTGCAAACATAAATTGCGCAGGGCAAGAGGCGCGCGAGAGAGAGAGAGAGAGAGGGAGAGAGAGTCCGCCTGTTACATAAAAAAAATTATTTATATCGAGCCTCGTTTGTTTCTCGTAAAAAAAAAAAACTTAAAAGTTCAACCAACTGTGGTGGTCGGAGTAATGAAACTTTTTCCATATCCCGTTTAAATTGGTAGATAGCCATTTAATTTCGTACGATTCGTTACATCGGAATTTCGCGCACGCGCGCGCGCGCAAACGTTTCATGTAAAAATACACGGAACAGAGATATTTGATGCACGCGACGCGAGAGATTCTCTCTCTCTCTCTCTCTCTCTCTCGAACATCACTCTCTCTGTGAGTTCGAAATATTTTAACCTGCCGCTTTCGTGTATCACGAAATTGCGCTATGTACGTAGATGGGATAGAGACGAATGCAATATTCAGCCGAACGATCACATACGCGCGAGCCTACCCTGTGCAAAGTAACCCGAGACCATAAATTTTCCATGCACTCTAGAGAATGCGTCTGCATACGAGCCATCGTTTACAAAAAATCCATCTACTGTCCGGGCGTGATGAACGTCACGTCCGCTTCGCGCGATGCTTTCAATTAAAAACGGCAAATATCCGATGCGCGCGCGCCCGCAATCCTTTAAATCCTGTGTAGATTTTCCGCGAAAATGAGAATCGAAAAATCAAATCGCCCAGTCGCGTGTCAATCGGAAAAGCAGGCCACGAAAAAGAGAGAGAGAGAGAGGAAAAAGCGACCTTCGACCCTCACGTTTTCTCTCGAGAAAGGTCATTCAACTTTGATTTCAAACTCGATATCTCGAGCTTAATATCTCAAGGCGTTAGTTTGATAACGACCGCCTCCGCGTGAGGCCTTGCATTAAAAACTTGACGATTCTTGTACGGGAGGAAGCGTTATTTATGCATGAACCGGGCAAGAGAGTTAATAAATAATAGATAAAACAAAATTTTCTACATCGGCACGCTCGAGGCATGTTCGCGCTCGGATTATTTATGGAAACCGCTATTTTTATGCGAGGCTTTGAGGTATCGTTAGCATCGTTGATTATAATCGCCACTGCCGCCGACCAAGTAGAGTATGACGTAACCTTCGGCAGGGAGAATGAGTCTGCAGCATGCTCCGGTTTCCGGATATTATCAAGTACTGCTATTACACGCGAGTCATCAGCTGGACGATCCATTTCCCCGGGATTTCTTTATCGACGACGATATGAGGTGCATGGTACCGCTCGCTCCCGAGAATTACGGAGGTGTGCTCGACGGCGAGAGACGGGTAACCGGATTTCCCAGGGGATAATTTAGCTATGTACACGGCGCTTATTAATTGCGCGAAAACACACCGCGTCTTCCTTCGTCCGGCCCGGTAAAATACTTCCACCACGTGTCGGCACTCGGTAGACTTTCTCGGCGATCACCGACGCGTTGAAATCTCCTCGCAATTTGATTTTTGTCGAAAGTTGCACGGGCAATTTCAAACGGAATACAGCAGCATGCACGCGAGACTTTCGTGGGGTTTTACAAGCGCAAGCTGCTTATGTCGATGCTTGTTTTGCATCAACTAAACTGGCCGAAACCGGTCGTTTGATCATTCGCGCTCGTCACCTTGACATGCTTAATATTTTATTAAACATTTCTCTTGCACGTTAAATTTCGGCGCAGACGTTACGGCTCTTATGAAGCATCAAGAGCATGTCTGATATTTTGTTATACATTTTCCTTAAACATTATATCTCATCATCAAACATTTGGCCTCTTGTTAAAAATCAAACTGTATGTGGTATTTCGTCGAAACCTTGTTAGAACGAAGAACATATTTTTCTCACTGCTAACGCTTCCTTTCTTCAGTCATATTGTGCTTTTTTCACCCCATTGGGACCAAAATATGCCCTCTTTTCGACCGAAGTTAGTCATGCCACGCAAAAGTCCAGCAAAAAAGATAACCCATGTTCCGCAGTCCCAAAGCCGAAGGTCGGTTGTGGACACATCTATCTATTGTGTTTTGTTTGAGTGACAGGTCAAGCAGTTTTCCCGAGCGCATAATAGACTTCTTATCGGGTCTGGAAGAAAAACTTACCTTCAATTTAGTCAATCACTCGGGGATTAGCTTGAAACCCCATGCGCGGTCACTCGACACGTTCACACAGGCTCGGCGATTAGCCACGCATCGTATATTGTGCTGCGGTCAACGTTTCAAGTGGCATCCTTGACGCTTACGAAGCCACAAATTTACGAAAATACCTGCGTGCGACCGCCACGAGCCCGAGAAGAAAAGGAAAAGCCGCCGAGAAGGCGCACATCCGTCGCTTCGGTGGCGCGCGATCACGTCACTTATTAATTGAGCAGGATCTTACAATAGACTGCGCTACGGCATAGAAAACTTCACCACCGCGGAGAGTTTCCATGACGATGGAAGAAGGGAGGCGCGCGGCCTCCGGGTGGTGGTAGATTTCTTGCCACTTCCACCTACCTGCTAACCTACCTGCCTGCCGGCCGGGCGATGCACGCGGACGGAACGCTGTGTGTGTGCATCGTGTGTCGTGTGTGTGCGCGCGCGCGCGCGACGCAACGGGAGGAGAAGGCAGGGCGCACTAATTGTCGGACATTGCCTGTTTCGTTTAAAGAACACGCAATTACCGCACGGCATCGAGTAGCCGTCTCTCCTCTCGGCGACGCGCCACGCTCGGCGTGAGGACGATTATCGCGCCGACCGAGAGCCTCTGTACGGTGGACAGAAATTCTTCACAGATTTATTACACTTCTGCGTTTCTTCTTTCCTCCCTTTTCTCCGTTTCTACGTTTCTTGTACTACGAGACCATAACTATCATTTGATATAAAGATGTGCGAAGAGTTTCTCGCTTCACTTTCTCCGTCTGTAGAAAATTTCAGAAACAGAAAGCTACCTATTGAAGACAGATTCTTATCTTCCTAACGGTTTTAGCGACAAATTCGGGAACGCGTACGGCCGAAGATGCATTTTCAGTGATCGTTAGCGCAAAGCGGATTAAGGCTCGGTTCCGTTCTGCTTACAGCGGAAAGATCCCCCCCCACCCCATCCCTCGGTCGTCCTCTCATTCCGTTCTCCACACTCTAATACCTTCCTCATATCAACGGCTAGGTAACCAGGTTAATACAATCTAGCTCTCGATTGCGCGATTATCACGCGAACGAAGTCGCGGAAACGATGCACCTTGCTGGCTCCTTCCTGCTTTTCCGCTTCCAAATCTGCTGAGAATGCATATCAAACGCATACGCGTACGCTGAAGATGGCGAAGAGCGGTGGGACAAAGTTTAGCTAAGGACTTGTTGCATCTTAACAAGATTTCATTCATGAATGTTTATGAATGTTAGAGCTTTATCTTATCATTCGATTTACAGCGTCATCCTCCGTTAAACGCGATAAATTAAACACTTGAGAGAAGGTCTTTGTCTTTAGTCCGAAAACGATATCGTTCGAATCGTACAGATGTGTACCTCGTTCTCTCATTTTTCTCGGCGTATACTCATCGCAATATTGCAGGAAAGAGGATAAATTACTGAACTTATATGTAGTACATATAATTAGATATATACATGTACAATATACGACGGGAATAAAACAAGTATGTATGTAGCGTGTAACTAATGCTAGATGCGTGCTTTTATAATTGCACATGTTCGCACATTTCCGTTTGCCGCATCGGAACGTTATGTTCCGTTCTGACTGCGTTACCGTGCTAACGATCTCCGTACACACATACACACACTAGTACTAGCGATAATTAATATCCCTCAATGCTACTCGAATATTCAAATCGCCCGAGCGACAAAAGCACGATGCATAAATGCGTACTAATGCAGATGCGGGTGTCACCGTGGCGTACCACAGAGGGCTTCCGAGGATTACGGTGCCGCTTCCATCCCGGAAGGAACACTGTTCGTTCACCATGAAGCCGATTACACATACTGTCGGCAATTTGTTGGACATGCTAAAAACGGAGGATCGTGGAATCGATAGAGCGTGCATAACATCGCTAGGTGAGATTTCGGCCGCAAACTATTTTTCGAGAAACAAAAAGTGACAAGAAACGTTTTTCGAGAAGGGCGACGCGTACAAGTTTTTACAAGTGTATCAGACAAAGGACGACTCTTTTATTTCGAGAACCTGACACTTTCAGCCGCGCGTAAAAGAGAAATTTGGTCAAAGTTCCTGCGAGATCTTTCCTCCTTACGCTTATCGACAACCTCACTTCTTAAAGTAAAAATTCGATATTTCTCTAATGAGTCTCCCAAGTCAAGTTTTAGAGATTTTAATTTAAATCAAGTACAAAAAGTACATGCAAGCTTTAATAATCGAAGCGTCGCAGACGCTGACATACACGCCGCGAGTCGAAGATTTACACAATAGCAAGCGATAAAAATGTGTCCATCGTCCTTTTCTTCCAGATGGTGTCAGGATAGCTTCCAGTAACACGATAGAGTCGCTTTTAGAAGAGGACTTCAAATTAATAATAAACGATAACGAATACGTCGTCGTGCCGCCGTTGCAAGAAAGGTGCACGATAGTGAGTTATCATGTGAAAACGAATTTTCCACCGGCATTACGCTCTCGACAACGAAGTCAATCAAGCGGAATATCGAAACTTAACGTTATTCCAATTGACCGTAATGATTGTTTTCGATTTGATTTCGACGATACCTCTCTCGATATCCCATCCCTTCGGACGAGATTCGTTCGCATTTTCTCCTCCTCCGACTGGCGTTTCATGGATATTGACGTGCTTCTCATTTTGCAGGAGAATCTGCAGAAACTCTCGGACGTGCAAGCGCTCATCAGTCAGTTGTACGAGGCATTTCACGTGCGGGAATATAGCGCTGACATGGAGAGAGCAGTCATTGCTGAGTTGGAGGACGTTAGATTGCAGTTAGAACCACTCGAGCAGGTAAAAAAAAAAAAGGAGAGAAGAAAAAGAGAAACATTTCAAAGCAGTTCGGCCCGCTTCCAGTTTCCACGTTACTCTTCTCGGCTGCGCATTGCGACACACACATTTCGCGCAACACGTCTTACGCGTTCGCATCATAAAGAAGAAATCCGCTGCGAAATAGTAATTGCATTTGTTAATTGATTTTATGGTAATTAAACGAGAGATGCGCATTTGAGCCTCTTCCCATCATGAGCGCGCGTAAATTGCAATAAACGCACGCGCGCGAATTCACACTCACACTTCTATTGTCCGCGCCCCTCTTTCACCCTACCCTCCGGGTTATGACTTTGCGACTACTCTTCTTAATTGCCCTGCTCTCGTGCGTTCTAATTAGCGCACTCGCGTGAGCGTACGCGCACACGTGGCAGAAGACGAAGCGATATTTTTCTAATCCGGCCTTTGTACGCCGGCATCGCCGTTTGCAGTGTACAACGAACACGGTTATGCAACGAATATACGAAAGAGAGAGAGAGAGAGAGAGAGAGAGAGAGAGAGAGAGAGAGAGAGAGAGAGAGAGAGAGAGAGAGAGAGAGAAGAGTTTCTCTCTGTAAAATATTCCTTGCGTGTACGTTCTTTTTTCTCTTCTCATCTGCCCGTTCTCTCTTTCTCCTCTCTTACCGTATCTTCCTGCGAAATAATGAAGCAAGATAAAACGCGGCGTTTGAGTTTCCTCATTGCTACATTTAACCGCATTTGGTGTATATATTACGATTACCGTCTCTCGAGCTGCGAAATGAACACGTTGAACTGCCAAGTGTTGGACAATTGACAAGTACTCTCGACTAATGGCTCTTCCTTTGATCGTTTCAGCAACTGCAGGACATAGAGAACGCCGCTTACAGGAGGGCGAATTTCTTCATCTGGACGTTTTTAATCATGATGTCTATTCAATTCGGCGGTTTGGCCAGGTTAACCTGGTGGGAATACTCATGGGATATCATGGAGCCTGTCACATATTTCGTCACCTACGGCACTACTATGACGTGGTTCATCTATTATCTCGTGACGAAACAGGTTGGTTTCGCAATCCACACTCGCGAGGCTCTTCCCTTATCGGGACAACGAACCGCTTCTGTTCGATCTGTTCGTAGGAGTACATGCTGCCGGACGTGTTGAACAGGCGTCACCTCATAGTGCTTCACAAAAGAGCGCGAAAGGCCGGCCTCGACCTTAACCTCTACAACTCGCTGAAAGATCGGGCCTATGAACTGGAGACCACCCTGAAAATTATTCGCGGCCCCTTGCACGATCACAAAATGCAGATACAGCGACAACAGCAGCAACAACACGACAGGTTCAGCTCCAGCAGCTCAAGATCACCCAGTTCCTCACCCAGCCCCAGCCCCAGCCCTAGTCCCGAGAGAGATTTTCCTAAGAGATCCGCGTTAGAGGCGAACGAACCGAAGAAGCCATCTCTCAGTGATCTTAAAATTTAATCGCGGATTCGATCGATGCGCGAAGGGCGCGAATGTTCCAGCCGGAGTAACAAATGAATCAATCAGCACGATCACCGATCGTTAATCGTTTAATCGATGCTAAATCTGCCTCCAACGAAACGATCGGAGAAGAAAAGTCAAGAGAGACTTCCTCGGACACGACGAAAGCGAATGCACTCAGGGTAACTTTTAGTCCGCGCGAGGAATCGGCGTTCGCACGGCGGCCGGGCCGTGAGAGACGAAGGAGGAAAGTATAATTTATTTTTGCGTAAGGAGACACGCGTATGAAGTGTGTGTATGTGTGTGTGTGTGTGTGTGAGTGTGCGTGACAGACCAGATCTCGATTTAGTCTTCCAAGTGATATCGACGGCAATCCTCAGCGCGCATTCTATAGGCACGGAGAATGCGGTTATTGTCGAATGCTCAACGCTGTCGACGTTTTTGGAAGACGCTGGTGAGAACAGGTAAAGCGGACGAGCGTGCGATTTACTTCGATCAACTCTCTGCGCTGCTTGCATTTAACGATAAAAATATTATTCACTTCCTAAAGGATGTCGAAGGATCGCGGATTACCTTAACGCTTTACCGCTTGATTTTAGCGCCGATTCAACACAGATCGTCGTCAAGAACTCTCAATACGTGAGTACGTGCGATAAGTCGTGATTTCATAGTATCGTTAATCGGAATTCTGCCAGTAGCCAATCACGTCGAGTAACGATTAGCGTTTTTAGAAGTTAACCAACCCGCGTAAGCATTTGCCATCCATACGATGTAAAGCACCTCGCGAAAAGGAGAGCCAATAAGTCCAGCGTGCTTCTGTGAAAGACGCGGTGAAGCGTTAAATTCGCGATTGTGTTTGAAATCGGCAAAGAGCTATAACAAATATAGAAACACATGTTCTTACTAGGTGAATACATATTGTGAAAATGTTGAAATGTTGAAGAATATTGCGAGAATAGAATACCGTGTTATATAACTAACTACGACTTGCAAATTTATTAAATTAATATGCAAAATAAAAAAGAACGCGTGTTTCTCTCGACTTGTATTATTTAATTTTATATCTTTTTTCTTTCTCTCTCTCTCTCTCTCTCTCTCTCTCTCTTTATGAAAATACACATAGCGTCTCTATATATGATATTTTAAAATAAACGGCGACATGAAGCTCCAATTCGCGAGTGTTACACGAGATCGTTCTGATAATTGCAAATTTGAAATTGTGCATAATATTGAAAATACTGTTGGTTGTTCACAAAGTGGTATTATGCATCAATGTCGTTGTCGTTGTGCTCGGCGTTGATGTTGTTGTATATACACAGTTTTACATGAGTCAACGAAACCGTATGTTAATCATTAATAATAATAATAAATGCATACTTTAGAGTGCATTTTATTATTATTATATTACACTTTGTAAATAACGTCGGTACGTAAAAACGTTATCATCCTTCCCACTCCCCTCTTCTCTCCTCCACTGAATTTATACCGGAACGCTACCATATGGATGAAGACCCATCCCAGAAAAATAAAGACACGTTAGTACGTACTGTGATCCGAGAATGTAGCGGAAGGTGGTTTGATGAACAACCGCCGTTATGTAGGTTAAAACTTAATCGTTATCCCCATGGCATATATATTGATTATTACTTACGAAGATATTCAATGTTTCTTCGCAACTGTCATCAAAAGATTCTAGTATTTAAATAATCAAACCTGTGCTCTATTCGCCTACGAAACACCGCCGTTATATCGAATCCGTGAAGCGAAGACACCTATATATATATGTATGTGTGTGTGTGTGTGTGTGTGTGTGTGTGTGTGTGTGTGTGTGTGTGTGTAATATATATATATATATATATATATATATATATATTACTGTCACACTTTGGCACTGTAGACCTTTTAATCGAAACACTACTGATAACATTAATATTATACTACGACGCTATTCTATAGGCAGTTTTCACGAAAGTATTGTAGGTAGGTACCATTCGTATATGTAGTTCGCTTCGAAACCTTCGGCATAACTTTTCGCTTTTGTCAAGTCTATCCGTCCGCCGAGATAGTTTATTACCTAATTTACAACCGGATCTCGCTCGTCTAACATTTTTATTACTTTGAAAACAGAGGATGGAGGTTTTTTTCACACCGATGTGACGAAATCTGTCGTTTGCGACTGATCTTCTATTACGTCGAAATTTTAAGTGAACTTGCACCGTTGATCTTTCACAAGACGAATTACAGCTCCAATTACATTATTTCGAGGACAGTTCCCGACGTATTTTGTGAATTTTTATGTAACATTTTATGCAATATTGCATCATACTGATGCACGCCACACTTCGAACATTGATAATAGAGAACGATCTGAAATTAAGAATAGTAGAAATAAGTTGAAAGTGTTGCTAACGTTAGATGCTAACGCTTTTTTACGACGGGAGAAACGAGCCGTAAAGATCACGCATTCTCGTGTACGTTGTACGTCCTCGTCTATCAATACGCAAAGAGAACGTTACATTGCTCTTTAGTGACTTTATCCTGTTTCATGCAAAAATATACGGTATGTTTTGGATAGAAAGGTAGGAGGTTTGGAGTTGAAAGGTAGGAGTTTGTAGCGAATAATAAGCGTAATTATCTAGCGTAGCACGAATGAAAGTATCGCTTTCCTATTTCCGATAGTTATCGCGAAGCTATCTTCCTCAAAAATATTTTGTACTGTTCTTAGAGGATATTTCATAAAAATCTTTATACATGTATACACACACACACACATACACACACACACACACACGTACACGCACACATAGAAACGCACCACGGAAATACACGCGCAACACATACGTGTACATTACGCATAAAACTTACGCGTATTTTAGTTCGCGAGTGATATTGCCTTAGCGCATTTTCCGTAAGCTTCGACGCCTAATATTCGATTAACACATTGATAGATAATCAAAGAGGTATAGTTACGTTTAAAATTATTGTAAATCTATATATACGCCACGATATATACATAGATACCCCTGAATCTCCCGATGTAAAACCTTAAGAGAAAAAAAAATTCTTGCGAGATCTCCACGCAAGATTTTTCCGATGCCAACTACTTCATTTCGTCTTATCGCGCAAAGAAACGATCGAGCATTGAATCCGTATAAATTAACGTCTGATCGAGATCGAGATCGTACTGACGGTTTCTAATCGTTTTTATATCTATTTTATATATCAGCGTGTGTCACTTTGTAATATTCACAAGTCATCGTCAAATCTGTGCGTCCAATTTGGTGAATTTAAAATTGAGGGGATCTAGCTTTCCCTCTCTTTCTCTCCCTCTCTCTCTCTCTCTCTCTCTCTCACTCTCACTCTCACTCTATCTATCTCTCTTTTTGTACACGACCGAAAACATTGTTCCTTTCGATTCGCTCGCATTCACGAGGAGATATCTTGACACACGCGACTGATCGATTCTTAAAAATTAGATAAAATCGGACCATATTGTTAATCGTGTGAGCGAGAAGATGTGTTCCGTGAATATTATAGAAAAAGATTTAACGCGCGTGTAAGCGCAGCAGCCTGCGTTAAAATCGATGATTCACAGACCGAGATAAGAACTTTAACACGTCCACTCGCCTGTATAAGAGTTCGCATACATTCTTCTGATACAGTTAGGAACGCATCAAATGACAAATATTGTGTGATGATACTGAGGATAAACGGGATATTCGACATCAATCAATTGCAACGAATAATTCAGGAAAATCGTACTACGATTAGAAAAATTTGATAACTTAGGTGCGTGACGTGTTAAGTCTATTATGTCGCTCTGTATGTGCGTACATAAAATCAAGTTAACACACATTGTGTTTGCGAAACAGCATGATCGCGAAAGAATCTCGCGATTTTCTTTTTCCTTTATACATCTCGAATATATATCTCGAATAATTGTACGTGGCATCTCGGAAGAGAAAACATGCTCGACAACAAGCGCACCTACAATTGTTTATTTGTATTTTCACGTGTATATACTACCACAGCGAGCGCATGAGTATTTATTCAAGGCGGAGATGTGCTGTGATTTACGTCCAATGTATTTACTTCCATGTGAAGAGAATTGGAAATAAAATAAAGATATGTACAACGTTAGACTTGGCGCACAGTCATTTATCTGATAAACATCCCCCCACACAATTTTCTATTTATTTTTGCACATTTCTACTATGACCGCGTAAATCAGATTATTGTATTTGCACATACACACACACACACACACACACTTACTATGTTAATTATATTCATCCTTAGATTTTGATTCTTAATTTCAAATTACCTTTTCGCATAAAAAACTGCAACATATTTGGAATTCTTGAATACTATTAGGTAGAAAAATAGTAACTCTGTTTCGTAGGCGGCCGAAGAAAAACTTCCCTCTTCCGACTCCGAGATTCCCTCCCTCCAATTTCTTACTCGACCAATGGGACAAGAAGATCACAATTATACAAGTGGTTGTGTAGGGCGTGGTCTAACGAGATTTAGTTAAAGGGACAAGTTGCCAAAGGACCAAACAGTCGGAGAGGGGATGAGTCAGCGTACGAAATATATACAGGTATATATGCAGATATCCTAAAGATAATAGAAAGGAGATAAGAGATTGTTAACGAGGTACGATTCCACTGCTAATCTGTACTCCACGGACGTGAAAATATGCAGACTAAAAACCATCAGCTTCGACTAAGACATACGTCCTTCCCTGGCGAAAATATTTCTACAAGAAACTACAAGAAACTGCTTGAATTGGAACACTTTCAAAGAAAATAAGAGATCATTTCAGACTCTGGAGAATTCGAAAAACTGCGTTTCTATGAAACTCTTTATTCATTGCCTGAGTAATTATGCAATTTCCTTCTTTTCTCCAAACATTTACCTTGAAATTTACCTTAAAATACTGAAATTTTCCTAAAAATAAAAAATGAAGAGTGGCAAATATAGAGAAAAGGGACCACCCTTCCAATGTCAATAATTTTCATATTTGTCATCAAGGTCATTACCCCCATTAATGTTATGAAGATTAACATATTGTTATAAACAATAAGCGCAAGCTATAATCTTATATAACAGCTTGCTATAATCTTATATTATAGCTTGCTATAATCTTATATTATAGCTTGCGCTTATTGTTTATAACAATATGTTAATCTTCATAACATTAATGGGGGTAATGACCTTGATGACAAATACATTTCAGTACTTCAAGGTAAATGTTTAGAGAAAAGAAAGAAATTGCATAATTACTCAGGCAATGAATAAAGAGTTTCATAGAAACGCAGTTTTCCGAATTCTTACAGAGTCTGAAATGATCTCTTATTTTCTTTGAAAGTGTTCCAATTCGCGCAGTTTTTTGTAGTTTCTTGTAGAAATATTTTCGCCAGGGTTTGGACAAAGGACAATACTATCCTTTGAATTTTTACAAGGTTCTTTATCAGATAAGTTTTTTTAACTAGAACCGCTACCCCTACCGCTTATTTTACCCTCTCTTTTGTATTTAAGACAGCCCTAAAGGTTTTGGCCAATAACAGGATATTTGCACTAACAAGTGTGGGAGAAATCAGGAAAAATCAGCAAAGGGACTATAGCAGCAGGGACAGTACAATTCGGGCTTTCAAGGGCTTCGGACGGCTTCGAAATTCCTTCAGTGTTTAATAGTAGTAATTTTCCATATTTTCAAAATTTTAAATAGTAACAAGCGGTTTTCCTAATTACATAAGTGCTCCATTAATAAAACTTGCAAAATGAAACGAAACAATTCCTTTAGAATAAAACCTTTAATCGAAAAGGATCAAGCCGTGCAGAAGGAAGTCAAATGTGATGAATGTAATTCAACGTACGTCATACCCCATCGAAGGCAAATGTAAGTACTTTGTGTGAAAATCGATTAAAGCCTTTGTCCAGCATGACGTTTCTTAAAATTTTACGTGTTGCAATAGATAAGGATTCATAGCGACAGATATGCCAGAAATGCTTTATTGCCGCTTCTCTAATACACGAAAGAAAACTCTTTAATATTGCACACTTTCGAAAGTGAAAGTGCGAATTCGACAGCATAAATAATCCTAACACATTTCTTTTTATTTAATACATATAATTTTTATTTAATACATTTAATTACATAGAAAATATATAACATACATAACAATCTTCCGCTTTCAGTTATCGCGAAAGAAAAGGCTCGATAAGTTCCGATTTACCAAATTTAACACTGATGGGACTTACATTCAGTTCAGAAAGTCCTCTAAAATGTAGCAAAGATACGATTTTTTATAAACGTAACATTATATGGAAAGCAATAAAATCCGAAGAAACAAGAGCAAACACTAGTATTAACACCGATGAAGAGGTACAGAATACAAAAATTTCATTACTTTCATCACTACGCGTAGATATTATAAAATTGTGACGCCTGCAGGTCCATCTTGGTTGCGTCCGAGCGGGTCCTTCCCGCGAATGATTTTCCGCCCCCTGCGATAGAGTCTCACCGAAACGCAGCTCGCCGGAGTCCGGATGCAGGAAAGGGTCGCGCCCAATTCAGTTCACACACGTGCTCATACGTATACTTTATTCAAAGGATTGATAAAATAACAGTTGTAAAGTGCCGCCGAGGTGAAATAATTTGCGGTAGCCCGGGGACGGTCCGTTCCTTTCGGTTTGGCCGCGATTCGCTCCGAAAACGACGCGAAGGCGGTTATCCCGCAGTGATCGTCCGGTTCCCGACTTGTTGCTGGTGTCGCGGAGGGGTGTCGGTCGCGGTAGTTGCAGCGGTGCCGCGGAGAGCAGGATCTGCGCTAAGTCGCCGTCGGGACGGGGACGGCGACTTAGCGCAGGAACCGAGAACATTCGAGTTTAGCATAGAACACGCTCGACGTGGGTATGGGAAGCGAGGAGGGTGGTTCCAGGAGGGTGGTGGGAACGCTCGCTTCGGGTAGGAATAGAGAACTCTCTGTGCGGTGGTTACTGGCGAGAACACTCGCTCCAGGATACCCGAGAACTCTCGGGCGGATAAACGACTCGTCTGTACGAGATAAGGCGTCGAAATCTGAATGTTCGCTCGGCGTCTTACATCGGTCTTTTCCCACCCCCCGTGTCTCTCGTGGCACTGACGCGCGACGGCCGCATGCCGCGCGCGCCGAGGTAGTCCTTGCCTCCACGTGCGTGTCGCGCGCGCTCGCTCACTCTTCGCTCTTTTCGCTCGCTCGTTCTCGCTAGCTTCTTGCATGCTTCGCTCGCCCGCTCTTGCTCTTTTCGCTCGCTCGTTCTCGCTAGCTCCTTGCATGCTTCGCTCGCTCTTGCTCTTGCTCGCTTGCATATCGCGTACGGTGGACATCCCGCTGACGGGGTGCATATTGCACTGTTCGGCGCGTGACGATCTGCGTATCGTCACAAAATGAAAAACTAGAGATAAAATAGCCGGGATATTAGAAGAATAAGGTTTCTTGTATCTTATATCTATTACTTTTGTTTAAGATGCGAGAAAACGTTAAGTTGTGCGACGGTAACAATGGGCTTGAGGAAGCTAGAGGGAGCTTGAATGAGCTAAAGGATCGTTGTCCATCTTGTGCCAACTTGAACGAAATTACGGTTGATGATAGCACTTTGGATGAAAATGACTCGTTTGTAGCAAATTCGGATAATGAAATCCAATTGAATGATATCATCAATCATAAATTGAGCGAACTCAAAGAAGACAAAAACTATAACTGGAGACTTGATAAAAGTAAATCAGCTACCTCGGCAATGAAGATCACACATATGCCTGACGAGATAAAAATGGATAAAAATCTGAAAAAGTATTGGTTGAAACGATCTGAACTATTTCACCAATTTGACGAGGGAATTAAATTAGACCAAGGTATGACATTAATGTATTTTAAAAATATTTATTAATTATTTTTAAAATAGGAAACATAAATATTCCCTGCAATATAATATACAGATATGTAACGACAATGCGTTCTTACAGAGAGTTGGTATTCCGTAACACCGGAAAGGATCGCCTTACAAATAGCTCGAAGATGCAAGTGCAATACTATTATTGATGCGTTTTGTGGTGCAGGAGGCAATACAATACAATTCGCGCGCATGTGTAATAAAGGTACGTATAACCATCGCATACATTTTGATATTATAATTTTCGCAGTGTTGGTAAAATTTTGCTTATTTTACTTGCGCGTCACCGATATTGATAAAGGATAATAATGTCATCACCAAGTCGTGATTGAAAAATGTAACTTATCGCGGTAACGAGGTGATAATTAACTTGTTACACCCGATCGCTGATTCTTTATTCCATTGTGTGCAAAACTAAATTTGTAAACTGATTTTTTCTTTGCAGTGATAGCAATTGATATTAGCCACACAAAAATTCAACTCGCCAAACATAATTCCAAAATCTATGGCGTTTACGACAAGATCAAATTTATAGTAGGCAACTTTTTCGAGTTGGCGCCGATGTTAGAAGGAGATGTTGTGTTCTTAAGCCCACCTTGGGGTGGGCCGACATATCTAGACGCATCAGTGTATGATATCGGAAATATTTCGCCTAACGGTGGGAAAAGCATATACAAAATAGCCAAGCAAATATCGTCGAGAATAGCATACTATCTACCTAGAAATATAAATATTAGACAGGTAAGATATAAACCTATTTTTCTATTTATACATATATTTGCATAAAAATATCCCAGATAGCACCGGACATCCAATGGATGTACGTTTCACGTCCAATTTATGTCCGATTTACGTCCGTGGACATAAATTTGACGTAACAAGGATGTCCTTATTTGGACGTCGGACCTGTAGGACGACCTGTAGGACGTCCGATGTACGTCCATCGGACGTTCATGTCCGATAGACGTCCGAAGTTGTGACAAACGTACGTCCTATGGACGTCTTTTGTAAAAAAAATGGACATATAACGCACGTCCAGTGGACGTCCGTGTGCTATCTGGGATATTTTTTGTGTCATCTATTAAACATAATTATAAATAAAATTATAGGTGAGGATGCTAGCGGAAGAGGGACAAGGCATGGAGACTGAGCAATATATGAAGGGAAAGAAAACAATTGCGATAACCTGTTATTACGGAGAACTGGTTTCAAAAGTGAAACCAAATGATGAATAATAAAGAATGTACCTGTTATAACTATGTTGTATTTATTTTTCTTATTACTAATTAATATATTTTAGACTTTCATAGGCTTTTTTTTTTTTCTTTTTAACTCTGCCTACGTTCCGGCTGTCGGCCGGATGATTGACAGCCCTCGTAGCCGGTCCCAAGCCCGGACAAAAGAGGAGGGTTCATAGAAGGTGAGGCTAGCAACCTGCCTACGGTAAAAAATGAATTTGCTTCAAGTACCAATAAGATAGCCTCGGACCGGGATGGACCTACCTACCAATGACGACACGGCCTCACAAGAAAATGTTGGACAGCCTTCGTATAGGACTTACAACTTGTTAGTCCTGTACGAAGAAGAAGAAGATATTCTTTTTTAATAAAATTGATGTCTTGCATCGTAAAAACATATTCCTCTCCTGATAATAATTCTTTATTGTTTTGCATTGGTTTATGCTATTGCATGAGACTGACATTCAGCTAACTTAACTAATCGATATAAAGAGAAAAGAGAAAAATAATAATTTGATGCCAATGATCGACATAGAATTTCTAAGAAAATTAATTTAAACATAACAGTAACAGAAAATTATAAAGAAACAAATATATAATTGTTATTATATCACGCTAAGGTCTCTATCTCCTCGGCCATTTTGATTAAGGAAGCGAAAGCATACACGCTCAAAATTGTTGGAAAATACATTAAAATGAGGATATATGCGTAAAATGATATTTGCAATCGGTCAACTAGGTTAACAGCAAAATAAACTGTAAACTTTCATTCTGTTCTAATAATAATAACTTGTAAAATTAATGTTATAGAATCATAAGAAAAGTCATCTTTTAAAGGCGACATGTTAGCTCCATTTTGTCAATTTTCCACGATGCTAATTGGCTATCTCGAAATCTCGATCTCGATGCGAGTTATTGCTTACTTCGACTCGCGGTTATTACGAATAGTTGACGTCATAAAAATTGCGCAATTCAACATTTATACATAAAGTATACAATAATATAAAATATAAAGTATACAAAACCATAAAATATACAACAATTTATACATAAAGAGAATTAATAAATAGCCATAAAATTTTTAACGCGACCTATCTTTTTAATCCATCTTTTCTTATAATTCTATCGCATTAATTTTATATCTCAATACTACATGTCTTTTAACAAAAAATTGAAATAACTACTACATAATACGCATGAAACCAAGATAGCAACACATTTGATAAATTTTTTTTTTCATTTATCATAAAAAGGTATTACTGGACTATTAAATTAACATTTTCGTTGAATATATCAAAGACAAGTTTAATAGTTTATAATAATTGTACAATTTCATGTAACTGTTAAATGATTATTCGCTACCGACATCCTTTCATTTCGTTTTTTAATGGCCTAAATTAATGCTTAGTGATACAACTTCATGTATCAACATCAATAGTTGTCATGCTCGCTTCTTCAGGTTCTGCGGGTATTGTTATGCCACCAGTGTCTATACTCTCCTCTTCTTCTCTAGGAATTTTTAAGAAGCAATGCATTGTCTCGTCATCCTCTTGCTCGATCGTAGAATTATTTTTGTACAAAGTTTCTTTAGTTGGCAGCGAGCCTTCGAGATGTTTAGAAGGTATCTGTATCGTGATTGTTTGCGAGGTGCCGTCAGCGGACGTTGAGGAAGACATCAAATTAGCTTCTAATGTATCTCCGACTTTCGAGAAGGCGCCTAAACAGCTGTAAATCAATTGTGCTGCTGCGATATTGCCAGGAAATACTTCTACATTTTCATTATCTGAAAAGCGACAAAAGAAATTTATTTGCCAACTCATGGTGGACAATTTGATAAGGATTTGCATAATATTTACCCTTCTTCTGTGCATTATGTTTAATCAAGCCTTTCTCATGGTCTCTTAAGTGCTGGATATAACTTTCATTATTTACTGTTTTAAAAGGACATAAATTACATGTGAATAAACCAGATAGCATGGGATGCCTAGATTTCAAGTGATTTTTATAACTACTGCTCTGTATAGCAGTATACGAACAATGTTGACATTTGTATGGTCGGAACCCTGTAATGGAAAATTTTATGCAATTCTTTCATAACTGGTAATATATTTTATATACAAAATACACATCTACCTGTGTGTTGCATAATATGTCGTCGTAAGGTGTTATGATCTCCAGTTTTGTACTCGCAAATTTCACAACTGAAGGGTTTATCACCTGTATGTTGACGGAAATGCATTTGCAACATCGCCTTTCTCGCGCTAGCATGGCCGCAAACGCTGCAAACGTACGGCCGTAGTTTGGAGTGTACAGCTTGAATGTGATTCTTTAAGCATTTCGAATTTGCATAGGTTTTACCGCATATGTCGCATTTCTTAGAAGTGTACCATCGCGTTACTTCTAATGTCTTACGATCTAAATGCATTACACGATGATTACGTAACTGACTGGCTTGCTTGAAACACTTCCCACATTCGGAACATTCGTACTCACGAGTCTCACTGTGCACCCTCATATGCGTTAAAAGTTTTACCATGGTAGCACTTTTGTAAGCTTTACATATTTTGCAAGTAAACAAACCTACATCTGAAAAGAAAATAATCTCAAACCAGAACTCATCGAATGTCTTATTTAAAAAAGAAAAAAAAAACTTTGTGTGTGTGTGTGTGTGTGTGTGTTTATTTCATGTTATTATATACAAACCTATTTGATGTTTCTTCCATAAATGTAAGCTGCATTGACGCCATTTCGTAAACTTTATATCACGACAAACATTACATTTAAATGTTGTCACAGTTTGAGATTCTGTATGGCAAAGAACATGTTGCTGCATAATCTCCTCTGAGGCAAATTTGTATGGGCAACCACGATACGAACATCTAGAAAAAAATATATACCATTTAAATAAAATAAATAAACTATATACATATATATAGTTTACTATCTAACTGTTTTTATATGATGTAAAATGTTTTTTTATAACATCACATACTTAACAGTTCTTTCTGTTAATTCAATCATCTTTTTGTTGAGTATGTATTCTGAGTCTAAGGTTTTTGGCATCTTCACTTCATGCTTTACTTCAGTGCTCTCATCACATTCCTCTACATGTTCGGTAACTAGAGTAGAGCCTGTTAGATCATTTGTTAAATTTTCTTTTTCAGATTTATCTGCTACGGTATCTGTTAATTGATGATCCTAAGAACAATACATATATGTTACATTATTTATATAGAAGTAACTTGCACTTTAAAAAATAAAATTTAAGATAGTTACTTCAATCATGTGTTCTTTGCAGCTTTCAATAGAAGAATAGCAGTTAGAACATTCCCCACACATGTAAACTAATTTTGATTCACTTATGTTTTTAGATTCTTCTGTTGGCTATATAATATGTAACAACATAATATATAATTATATACATAATTTGTATTATATTGCAAATCTCAAATAAACAAATTATGATTTCTTTATCCAAAATTACAAGTTCTAATTTAAATCTAAATATTATTTACCTCAAGATCTAGAGTAGGATTCATGTGTGTATTTTGAAAGTGATCTAATAACTGCATCTTATCTTGAGTCGTATAAGTACATATTTTGCATTTGAAAGCAGTTACAACTTCCACAAAATCATTAGCATTAATACTGTTTTTCCCTATAAAGAAGTCCTTTTCAGTATTATTTGTAACAACTTCATATTGTTCTTCAGAATGTTCATTCATATTTTCAAATATTATGTTTTCATTGTTGATGTATTCATTTCCACAATTATCCATGTCCTTTGGCACTAAGAGTGTTTTATCATGGCAATTTTCCTGGTCAACAAATTGACTAATGTCCAATTCTTGAAACACTCCATTTTGTAATGCATACCACACTTCTCCATCCAAAGAAGCTAAAGGAATTGATTCTTCTTCTTTTGCTAGTTCTTCTGCTTCAGTTTCTTTGACGTCAACTGTATTTTGCTTTTCACTGGATATTGCATCTTTTACATTTGTATCTGATACGGTTTGTAAAATGTATTTCATTCCATTTATTTGACAACTCAAGTAAGACACATCTGCATTTATCTTTCCGTTCATGATAAAAGCTATACAATAATCCAAATAATCATTGATAGATTAAGTATCCAGGCATTTATACTATGAAATAAAGAGGTTATCTCTGCAATGGTAAACAATGTAATTATATTATAAGCAATATTCAATCAAAATCAGGATCGACATATTTTTATATTAGATGTGATTCTGTATGTGAATAAACAGAATGCGCATTCGTAAATATTCGAATTCGAAAATGTGTCGAACGTTGTACCTCATACATGCGAGCGTCTGGTTCGAGATTTTCAGGTGTTCACGTGTAAAACAACGAATACGAATCGTCAGCAAAGTAATGACATGTAGAAAAGTGCATCATATCCATGGACGATTGTGACTATTTCTAAATGATACAGCCCAGATATTGGAAAAAAAAATATAAATATCAAGATTCAGCACATTATATACGGGATCTGCCGATGTACGCCATTTTTCGTCACGTGACAACGTATAGTTTCACATCTTTACAATATAGATTTTGCTTATTTTTAAGCACCATATATAAGTAATGCTTAAAAATAAGCAGATACATATATATTTCTTTTTATACATATATTTATACATGTTGAATAATACATAAAAATATAAATGTAACTATAATAATTATAAGTTAACTATAATAAATATAAGTTACTTTCAAAAAGCCTATATATGTCAAATCACGCATGTTTGGGTGTTCTCTCCATATTTTGTCTAGCAATTTCAGGAAAGAATTGTGAATTATATTTTTGTTTTATTGTAGGTTTAGGAGTTTCAGATGCTACAACAGATACTGGATCACCTCTTATTTTGGCCATTAAGGCATTGGTTCTTAGTTTTTCACTTTGTTCTCTCAACAATCTTTCTGCTCTCAATTGCTCTATATTTATATTACTTTCGCTTTTAACTTCTTCCTTCTTGACAGATTCTTTATTCTTTCCTTTTTTGTGTTTTTTATATTTCTTATCCTTTTTATGTTTCTTGTGTGGACTATGACTCTTCTGATTAGAATAAGAGTCATCAGTATCATATTTTCGTTTAACAGCTTCTGTCTTTACTGTTGGTTGATCTTTGGTTGATTTTGAATGCGTAACAGTCAAATATCTTTTTATGTCAACCATTGGATCTATCAAAGTTTTTTTCTTTGTTTCTATTTCTATATTCTTGTCTGTATCCATCATTCTTTTTGGTAATTCTTCGTACCAATTCTTCTTTCCTAATGCTTCATTTGTATCTTGCCCTAAATATGTTAAGTAACCAATTTGTTTCTCATATTTTTCCTTTTCTTCTTTCTTCTCTTTCTCATGTTCAATATTTGGCCTATTATAGTCAATCTTATTATCTTCTAAGTCAACAAAAAAGTTGACATGCTCTGATTTTGTACTACTAATATTAGTTTCCACACGACCGTCATATTTGGATCTAGCTTGATGCCGTAACAAATTTACTTTTGCTTCTGTTTCCTAGCGTGAAAAGAGAAATTCGAGTTATAATTATGAATACTAAAATAATATGTATGTGAGCACACACACAAGTTTAGTAATACTTTTCTATAGTTTTCTTATAGAAATTTTGTTTCGAATACAAAATTTCTATAAGATAAAAATGTTGAAAGATAATTTATTACGTACAGCTTTTTGAATTCGCGCCTGTTTAATCTTCTCCTCTTCCGCAGCTTTTGCTTCATCCCGACGTACACGAGCGATATTCTCTTTCGTTCGGACATGCCACCTGAATATATGTAAGACGAATGATTAAAAAAGTAAACGAAAGAATATAAATAAAAATAAAAATACTTCTAAATGAGCTATTTATACCTTTTCTTTGGTAAAATATTCATTGCCAATAATAAATGAAAACTACTGTCCCGTAGAGGTAAAAAGTTAGGTTAAGCCTACTAGAGAACTTTCAAGGCCCATCTACTGGCTGCAAGAATAAGGTTCTAAGCGTAAGCAGTAAAGGTCATTCTACATTGAGGTTGTAATAGACTGCAGTAGGCAAATTAACCAATCACAGTCGATTATTCTTCGATCATAAGGAGAACAATCGATGATTGGTCAATTTGCCTACTGCATCTACTACACCTCATTGTAGAATGATCTTTAGAAATAGACCAATCACAATCGATTATTATAAGAATAATCGATTATGGTTGGTCCATTTCTTAAGCCAGCGGCACACGGTGTTTGTTTCCGTGCTGGACTGCTTGCTGGATGAAAATACTGCGTTGTGATTGGTATATTTTCGAAGATGAATGAAAATGCACCAATCAGAACGTAGTATTTTCATCCAGCAAGCAATCCAGCACGAAAACAAGCATCGTGTACCGCTGGTTTTATTCTTGCAGCCATTGTAGATGGGCCTTCAGAATTGCATTTTATAGTCAAGCTACGTAAGATGGCAGTATTCTCAAATATTCCCTTTCATCAGAATAATTAAAAATAGTCTCTTGTGTACATTATATACATATATTTAAATATAAAAAGGGCATAAAAAGCTAATATTACATGCGTCATATATACAAAAAGGGCATAAAGGCGGATTCACACTTTAGTAGAAAAGCAGAACAGCAGGAACCAAGAGAGTGACGGTAATAGTCTGTCTCTCTCCTGCAAAAGAGATTATTTCATTGGCTACGGAGCCTACGGGGTATCTAGTGTCCCTAAAACATAGAGTATGGCCACGGTACGTGTTCGTTTTTATTGGTCGAAACGAATTTTGTAAAAACATGGCGGAACCAATAGAAATTGTTACACAGAACGTAATAATTTAAAAATGTAGTAGATAGATATCTTTACCTAGAATCTGTCTAAATTTCTATATATTTTTATCTAGATGTATGTATATGTAAAAAATTGGAGACAAGTGTTGTGAGACAGAAGAGAAATATAAAAAATAAGCAAGCCGTGAAAATGCGCGATCAGATATAATATTTATTTGCTACAATAAATAGGATAGCGAATGAGGTAAAATAGAATTGAGAAACATTCTCACAAATATTTAGAAGTGGGGAAAGGAGTGAAATAAGAAAAGTACAAAGAGTTTGTATAACTCGTTTTTATAATTTAAACGAACAAATATAAACATTTTGTCTTCACATGAGTTTTGTCTTGTCATAGAAGGATTTGGGTTAGCTCCATTATCATCATTATTATCTGAAACTATCTTCAAAGCTGACTTTTCATTTGTAACATTTCTTGTATCAGCCTGCAAATATAAATTTCATTAAAGATTTCTACAATTAAAAATTTAATTTGAAGATAATATGAGCAACAAAAAAAATAAATTTACATTACAAGTAAGTATATTATCGAAAATTGTTGGAACTGCATGTTGCTTTAATTTTCGCTTTCCATCAATGTGAGGCTTCTCCCACATATTATCGGAGAAGTGTACCTATACATAAATGAAACATCAGAGAAGTGTATCTATACATAAATGAAACAAGAATTATTTCATAACAAAAAAGAATTCTTAATCTTCTACTTTGCATATAAACCATTTTCTCGAGGAATTCCATTCCTGTCTCCCAATATTGGTAATCCACAATGCTCTTCTAGTAAGATCTGCAGGAAGCGAGTAGAGTGAAAAGCCTTTCTGATAATAATTTTTACAATGTGGAACACAACAAGTTGGCATGTTGAAATCTAAAAATAAATATCTTTTTATTGCATTATATTATAAGATCGTTTTATTTCAGGTACTGTTCAGAACAAATGTGAGGTTAAGATAACTTTTATTACGAATAACACATCTTTATAACATTATAATTTTTAAATACATTAATTTTTTTATTTTATAACTTGGAAACCACATACAAAATAATTTTACTTACTTTTAATATTACAGTTTGTAGCCAGACAATTTTATCGTATACAACGCGGTAAACACAATTACATATATGCACATATACATGTATACACTGCCGCCATGTTTTTACAAAACTAGGCCGAGTGGCCAGACTCTATGTTTTAGGGACACTAGGGGTATCTGAATGTGAACTTAAGGCCAGTATTCATAGTTGAATCTTATATTTAAAGCCAGCGGCACACGGTTCTTGTTTTCGTGCTGGATTGCTTGCTGGATGAAAATACTGCGTTCTGATTGGTACATTTCCGAAGATGGATGGAAATGCACCAAAGAACGCAGTATTTTCATCCAGCAAGCAATCCAGCACGAAAACAAGCACCGTGTGCCCCTGGCTTAATAGTAAATATCGAAACGCAACATTTAAAAAGAAATTTTTAAGAATTAATATTTCAATTAAAATTCCCAATTTAAATATTTAAATTTAAGCTTGAAACATTTTAACATTTTCTTCAAAGTTAACTTTCATGAAAAGAGCTTTATATTTTTAGGTAACTTCTTTACATAAAGATTATTGCTCTGATTCCATATAGTGATGTGTAGGGGCACAAAGTGGGGAGAAATGCAATGGTGGACAATGAATATTTTCGAGTAAAGTGCGGTAAAGCACTTTTATTAAAATTATTTTAGGATTCCAAGTGTTTCTGTCACTAAGAAAAATTTCAAATCGACAAAATGCCACCGAAGAAGGCGCCGGCGCCGAGCAAAAAAACAGAACAAAAGAAAAAAGAGAAAGTTATTGAGGTAAAAAGTAGTTCCTACTTTTCACTTATAACCAAAAATTGTTAATTTCCACATGTTTTCCCACATGTTTCCTACATGTACGCATGTAGAGCTTTAATTTATATTTCGTCTATAATGTCCTGTCGGAATATATAATTTTACTTAACCTTCGATTTCTCTAAACTATAAATTATTCTTTTTTTTTCAGGACAAAACATTTGGTATAAAAAATAAAAAGGGTGCCAAGCAGCAGAAATTTATTCAACAGGTTGAAAAACAAGTGAAATCCGGTGGTGTTAATCCCCGCAAACTTGAAGATCCCAATGCAAAAAAACTGGAAAAAGAAAAGAAGCTCAAAGAACAGAAGGAATTAGCACTTATTTTTAAACCTGTCCAGATGCAAAAGATAGATAAAGGTAATAGAGTAATACCATCAATATTAATAGATAATTACTATTACTCAAGTATCGTTTGTAAAATTTTTAGCTCAATTTTCTAATTTAAATTTACTATCTATGTATCTATTATCTTACATTATTCCCTAGTGAACTTTTTTATACATATACTTGAGTTTTTAGAAATTTTGAAGTTTGATATTAAATTAACATAAAAATTAATTAAGATACTCAAAATATCATTAAATATAAAAATCATGAAATTTAGTATAAATATATCATTAAATATAGAAATGGCATTGTGTTTTATGTGAAAATTATGTTTACAGGTACAGATCCTAAGTCTGTTGTATGCGCATTCTTTAAACAAGGACAATGCACAAAAGGGGATAAATGTAAGTTCTCCCATGACTTAAGTGTTGAACGTAAAGCTGAGAAACGTTCCTTATATTGTGATATGAGAGATGATGATAAGGAGGCAGATACAATGGATAAATGGGATGAAGACAAGCTGAAAGAAGTTGTGGAAAAAAAACATGGTGGTGGTGGCAATCGTCCAACAACTGACATTGTAAGTTGAGTAAACAATTCATAATTATTCATGTAAAAGCAACAAATCTCTTAAAAATTTGTTCCTAGAAAAAGAAAATAAAATGTTTTCTTTAATTATATTTTCTTTCATTAGATATTTTCTTTTATTAGATCTGCAAACACTTCCTAGAAGCAGTAGAAAAAGCAAAATACGGTTGGTTTTGGGAATGTCCGTCTGGTCAAAAGTGCATATACAGGCATGCCTTACCTCCTGGATTTGTCCTAAAGAAGGATAGAAAGAAGGAAGAGAAAAAAGATGAGATATCCTTGGAAGATTTAATAGAAAAAGAAAGGGCTAATTTAGGACTGAATCAAGTATACAAACATATAAAATATACAATAATTTTTCATTCGGTAAATACATTTTATAAAAGGCATATTTTATTTATTCAATAATTTTCACAGACAAAAATAACATTGGAGACATTCTTAGCTTGGAAGAAAAGAAAATTGAAAGAGAAGGAAGAACAAGCAATTAAAGATGAGGAGAAGAAGAGAAATGATTACAAAGCTGGCCGGCAAGTCGGCATATCGGGCAGAGAGATGTTTTACTTCAATCCAGAGCTCGCAGCCGGAGATGGTAATATCTTACCTAAAATGTGGTTCGTTCAAACTTCACGTTCGACGCAAATATCATATATTTTTAATTATCGCAGGTATCGACGACGGAGACGAAGCAATATCTAGTTATGTTCGTGAAGAGGACGATTATGAGGATATACAATATAGAGAACTTGATACGGAACGTTTAGCTTTTGAAGCTAGCGAGACCGACACTACGGGTATTACTGTAGCTGCTGCAGATCGGTTAAAGATCAATAATGTCGCCGATAATGACAAAAATGTTACAGGTACAATATACAATTATATCAATGATATTTATAAAATTTATTATATCAATTAATGAAACAATATTCTAATGATTAAAGAAACACAAATCTGTTCACAGATTTTTAATTAAGATTTCTATAATTAACATGTTTATTTTGATACTAGTCATCGAATTATAGAAGTGAAATGTTTCTATTTTAGTAACTGTGGAAGAAGGTGCTGCAGCGTTAGCTATCAATGAAAACCTCTTCATGGAAGAAGATTTAGAGGGTTTGGAAGAAGAATTGGGGGACCTGGACTTAGAGGAGTAATCCAGATGTCCCGATCGTGTCTCTCCTCACGTCATGTTGGCTTCGCTTCTCCCATCCGTGTTTTATCAACTTCGTTCAATACGTATCGCTCGGATTAATCTCAAATATATTGTATACATATAATTTTCAACATATTCATACATAAATGTTACGTTTGTATATTGGAACATGTGTACAAAGAGCAGGGTACCTATTATGGAACTCGTCGGAATCGATTCCGATCGAATTTATTCCATTATTTCCGAGATTTCTATTGTCTTTTCTAGGGGAAACGGAATTATTCCGATCGAAATCGATTCCGACGAGTTCCATGATAGGTACCCCGGTGTCGCGTAAGCCAACCGGTCTATTGTAAATCTAATAAAATAAGTAAATTAAAAATAAAATTACCAGCATTCATCTATATACACATACACTAGAGATATTCGTAAAAAATATATATTTTGTATCGCATAAATATTGCACGAATTATTTTTATGTCTTAACCTTTGTTCTGCAAAGGCCCTTCTACAATCGCTGCAAAGGAAAATTCATACCTTGGCAGCAAAGTAGAAAGCATCCAATCAAAAGTCGCGCTGATGGTTCGTCTCTCTTTTGAGATAGAGAGAGAGAAACAGAGAGACAGATTATCAGCGCGAGTTCTGATTGGATTGTTACTTTTTTGATTTTCTGTCCAGGTATGAATCCTGCCTTATCGGGGAGTTTTTGCAATACTGTCTCTCAGATACCGTAAACGTAAATCGTAAATACTATATATTGGTCACGTATATTGCGATGTTATTTCTGAGCGAATAACGTTCACAATTTACGTTTACCATATCTGGGAGATGGTATTACAAAAACTATCTATTATCCAGAACGCAACTGCTATGTTGAACGACTCAATTGTCATGTGAAATGTTTTGATTTTCACAAATTCATATAAAATTTTTCATTTTTCACTAATTCGCATAAATCTTTCACTTTTCACTAGTTCACGCTCATGACAGCACTAGTTCATGACAGCAGCTGCAACACTTCTCCAATCATTTATGTCGGCGCACTCCCACTCCTCAGATTTCTGCCATTTGGTCTGTTCTTTGTAGGGGTGCATTCCGTTTCACGCATATGCGCGCATTTATCTATAGTTTATGTCACGTATACTATAAAAAATGCGCGCATATGCGTGAAACGGAACGCACCCTAGCTGTACTGTTGAACTGGTGCAATAAGTTAAAGTGAGACAAATATAGGTTTTCTCTTTTTAGCTTATTGCACCAGTTCAGCAGTGCAGCTACAAAGAACAGATGAATTAATAACTCGATAATTATTGCGAATCTCGCAAAATGGTATGGGACTTTTATGTTTGTGTCTCAACCAAATCTACCTTCACACTTCGGGTTGGCAGCTAATTATCGGACACTTTCTATGATCTGCATAATATTAATCATACACAATGTCAATTCTTATTTTTTTTTGCGCATGTTAACATGTTAATTCATGTTATAAACGCGTAACAATGTGCGAGACCGTGCTTGTCAAGTACGCTATTATGATTATAGCACGGACATAAACCGCCTGAAAGTGGATGTAGCACGGACTGCCACCACATGCAGGTTTTACCGCCGAGACCTGAAAGTGGATGTAGCATCGTAGTTCCCCTCTCAAAATGAATGCAGATGACGCCCTTTCCCAGTGCAAAAAGTCGCTGAAAAGAAATATTTTCTCTTTTGCATGTTTTGGATTAGATTGATGATCTCAATAATATATAATGGATTAAAAATTATTGTAACGTTCTTTTTTCACCGAAAAAAATATTTTCTCTTTTGCGCGTTTTAGATTAGATTGATGATCTCAATAATGTATAATGGAATAAAAATTATAGTAACGTTTTCTCAATATAAGAACTCAATTTGTTAAGTAAAAACGAATATACATCATCTTAATATAACGGACGTTCATTCCTTCAAAAACAACCAATAGGCATCGTGCATGAAGCAAACATGTGAGAGAAATTTCTTTCCCCACTCACTCACTCTCCCCACTCACTCACTTCCCCCACTCACTTTCTTAGGACCCTATATGAGGAAAAAGACGCTGTTGCAGCACACTTCGCTTTGGCGATCTAGCTTGTGTAGATGTGTTTTCTTTTTAAGAGTTTCTGCGAGTTTTTTCTCAGTCCGGCATCTTGGAAGCCATCAACGGACTACCTTTTTCATTGCTACATGAGAAAGGTAAGATAAAGAGTGCGGTAAAACTTTAGAATAGGATCTTCTCCGAATTTTGATAAATTTTTGCTACTTGCTGGATAAAATTCTTTGTTGTGACTACGACAATGATAATCAATGGAAGGAGCCCGAAAAAAATGTTACCGAGCTATTTTTTTCATGTTTTTTCGGGTCTTATAAAACTCTGACGGAAACATACACCAAATTTAAACTATTGAGTAAAAGTATAAAAAACTCAATAAACTTTAATAAACCAAAGACATAAACTATTCTCCGCAATAATTTAGACTTTATAATATAAATTTGTGCATTTGATTAAAGCAGAGCATGATTGTGAATAATGCTCTGCTTTATTTTGCTTGTAATTTATGATACGTCCTACTTTGCGTAAGGATCTTGCCAATCTTTTCAGTATTCATTTTTAGTATATCGTAGACTCATTGTTTAATAAGACGAAAGATTCGAGTAACAACTATGAACGGTATTTAATCAGTATAAAATCGATATTTAAAATTTGAAATATATGGAATAAAATTTTCATGTTTTTTCCTATAAAGATCTTAGCCCCCTCTCCTCTTCTTTAATATACCGGGTGTTTCAGACTACTCGGGTCACCCGATTTTTTCGGTGACATTTTAGAGAAAAATAGTTAACGCGACATTTTAGAAAAAAATGTTTCAAACAAAAGTTATAGGGCATTAAAGGGTCTATTAGTTGATGCTATGAATTTGACCTTGGGATAACCTTAAAAAGTCCAGTCAAGATCAACGTAAAAATCTTAAATGGATACCCAAATTTTTTATTACATCATCTTTTTCTAGCAATTTATTTGAACAACTCTTGTCTAAAACATGTTGTTATTTACCTAATATTTTTTGAGATATTTAAGGAAAATTTGATAACTTTTTCAATATTTAACTTACAATATCTCGCTAACTAGTTGTCGGAAGAAAAAGTGGTACTAGACTTTCTTGCTCTATTTAGTGCTCAAGAATATATTTTTACAATAGCGCCTACATGCTACAAATGTGCTTACTTGATTATTAAACTCACGTAAGGAAGAAGATATACGTATCGTCCCATTGCTGCAGTCGGAAAGACTCACTTCTAGTCTAGAATTTACGTAAAAACAAAGTGTCGCGACCACTCGGCGGGGCAATCAAATCATGCGAATTCAATTCAAATCGATCGACCAATCAGCTGTAAAAAAATTGACTAATCGCAATCGATTATTCTCCTTGTGATCGTGTTCGGAGTCATAGCGTGCACAGCAGTTTTCTAGAAGAATCCAAATATTCTTCTAGCCTTGACATCACGAAGCTTGCGCGTGATCTATGCGTGCTCGGTTAGCGGGGATCTCGTCGCCGAACGTTAGGCCACGGGATCCCCGGCGAGGAACGCTCGAAACAATGTTTATTGCCGCGTATTTGCCGTGTATGTCCCCGTGGCAGACCCCGAGCATGCGATCACAGCGTGTTACGGCCAACGAATTACAGCCAATCCTTATCTGCCAGCTCGAGCTGAAAAAAGGATATAATTGAGACCGAAATTTCATCTGGCTCTCTGCGCTTTTGGGTTTTCTACCGAGTGGTCTTTTACTGCCGATTGCGACCGGCGCGGATGATCTTCACTGAATTTTCGGTTAACACTATCGGTGTTATTACTTCAACGTGGCTGCATTCGTTGCACTCGGTTACGATTTCGTGAAGTGACTCTCTGGTCTTCGCGCCTGGGCCGCACGTCACTCTCCGACGCTCGATCGTACCCACCGATACATAGAGCACTCAACGCGTTTAACGTGCATTACTTTTTTGTGTCTTGTATTGTACGATTTGTAATCATATCCATTTTAAGTGCGCCGTCGGCGAGCGTCGCGTCCGCGAGCGCCGCTTGTTGCGAGACACCTTACGTCCGCCGGTCTACAGCGATTTCCGTCGATCGGACGTTAAGTTAGACGCTTTCCAAGATCTGCGTCCGCGTTTTACAAACAGAACAAGGCGCCTCGAGATATTTGCTCGATCGCTCGATTGTTCGCCGCCGTGTACACTTGTTTCGGTATACATAAGAATAAACTTCTTTTGTGTGTCGTCATACTCGCTCGGCTTCTCTGCACTCCTATTCCTATAGCGATTCAGATCGCGTACTGGCGCCCTTTGCGCACAGCGCTGTGCGATACCGCGCGATCGCCGTCGGCTGAACCCGACGGGAACAGATCGTAAAATAAACAATTGTGACATATTGATAATTGTATTTTACGTTTTAGGATTTTCTGTTGTAGAGCCCGCTTTACCGTTTAGTTACTACGTGATTCATGTGTTTTATAGTTGAGAACTGTAATCTAACAAATTTTATTGAAAATTCAATAAAAGCTATTTTAGAAGATATGAAACGGAAGCCGTGTTCTACAACCTCTAGTAAGAATTCCTTCGAGAATAAAACGTTACTATTAATTATTAGCATTAAATTAATTATTAGAAATCTTATTGTACGCCCTCCTAGTAACAGCGATTAAAGTAAGAAATAATACGACTTAGCACCGATGGTAATTGCGGGAAATGCAATTTTGTAAAGTGTATAAAATCAACGTACCTATTCAAATATTGAAATTATTATAAATTGTTAACTTAACAAATTATAATACTTATAAGCCAAAATATTTGTAACTAATGGTTGAAAATAATCGGTAACATCAGTGACTTCATCCTTTAAGTATCTTCAAGTCGATAAAAGAGAATTCACAGCGCTCATGATAACATCTTATCTGCCTTATTTTATCGATAAACTTATCGTCGGAGGAAAAAACGAGAATGATCCCAGTAAACATCGTTTAACATCGTAACATCGTAAACATATCTTGTAGACATCTAAAAGATATTTTATGAAAGATATTTTCAAGACATTTCTAAAAGATATCTAGAAGTTGTCTAAAAGATATTTAAATAGATTTAATAGTTGAAGATATCTTTATAGAATTTCTAAAAGATATCTACAGATATCTAAAAGATGTCTTGAAAGATATCTTTAACCTTTAGATCCCTAAAAGATATCTCTTCGGAAAAAATGTAAGATATCTCAAGACATTGCAAGATATCTTTTAGAAATCTAAAAGATATCTTTTTGTCTATTTGGGATTGTAACAACCGTTGATTCATCCTTAATTCTCTCTCTCTCTCTCTCTCTTTCTCTCTCTCTCTTTC